ACGAACCAGGTGTGTTAAATCTCTACTTAGTCTAAAGCCTTGTTCAGACTGTCAGTCCAAATCTGGTTATTGTGCATATCTGATTGGAATCTGATCATATTTAGCATGTGTGAACAGCAAAAAATCACATGAAATCCAATTTTTACAAATCTGTTTCAAGCTACATTCCTATCAGAAGTCAGAAAGAGCTTTATTACCAAGTATGTTTACACACACAAGGAATCTGACCTGACGACAGGAGCTTTCAATGCAGAAGAAAGTACGGACATAGTGCAACATACATGATAGTGCAGACATACATAGGAATAACACAGTAGGGATGGAATATAACACTAATATAAAAAAACATAATGCACTATATACAGACGTAGAAGTGTAGATAAAAATTGTAATTGGTTAAATTAATGTAGAGATATGTTATTTACAAGTGTGCAGTTTACAAATGTACAAATTTTGAATTCTGTGTATAAATATGTCAGTTATGATGCACAATGTATAGTTATGGAAGTTTTAATTGATCAGGCTGAAGATAGCCTGTGGGAAAAAAACTATTCTTGTGCCTGGCTGTTCTGGTGATCGGTGATCGGTGCTCTGTAGACCAGAAGGCAACAGTTGGAAGAGAGAGTGGGCTGGGTGTGAGGGGTCCAAGGTGATTTTCTTAAGCCCTTTTCCTCACTCTGGAGATGTAAAGATCTTGGAGGCGGAGCAGAGGGGCACCGATAATCCTCTCAGGAGTCCTGACTGTCCGCTGTAGTCTCTTGATGTCTGATTTGGTAGCTGAACCAAACCAGACAGTTATGTATGAACACAGGACAGACTCAATGATGGCAGAGTAGAACTGTTTCAGCAGCTCCTGTGGCAGGTTGAACTTCCTCAGCTGGCGAAGGAAATACAGAATCTGCTGGGTCTTTTTCACAAAAAAAGTCAATGTGATTGTCCCACTTCAGGTCCTGAGAGATAGTGGTGCCCAGGAATCTGAATGACTCCACTGAGTGGGGGGAGTGCAGGGGTGTTCCTCCTGAAGTCCACGATCATCTCCACTGTTTTGAGTGTGCCAGCTCTTTATCCTCCTGTCTGTAAGCAGACTCGTCTCCAGTGATGGTAGTGTCATATGCAAATTTCAGGAGCTTGACAGAGGGGTCTTTTGCAGTGCATTCGTTTGGGAGAAGAGCAGTGGGGAGAGAACACATCCCTGAGGGGCATAAAACATAATAAAACATTAACTTGATAAACTTTCATACAGGCTTGTAAGAGGTGACGGGGAAATTTTAGAAGAAATTGTCAGCAAGGAGCGGCCCAAGGAAATCAACAAGGTGCGTCTTTCGGAACCATTCTGGTCATGTTTTGCGAATAGGAAAAATATTTAAATTTGTCATAATTTTTTCTTGTTTTTCACACAGAAATCCACTAAGGGAGATGGTGATGCCTTCCAGAAGAAATTGGGCATCAATAGGTAGCGAGGTGTCAATTTGAAGACAAGTCCTCGCCAGTCCAAAGCCTTCTCCTGCATTTCTACAAGAATTCAACCCTTTTTTTTACTTTATTTTATATTCCTCCCCATTGAATAAATG